TCCTTGTTCAAGAATCTGTGAGCTAAGAGTGTCCATCTTCCCTGCTATTCCTGTTCTTCCAGGCTGTTGTCAAGTTCATAATTATTATTGCATATCATAAGTCATAACATTAATTAATTGTTTGTTTTTTTAAATAAAATAAAATAACACACTTGATAAAACAGTAACATGTAAAATCAATACCTTCTTTTAGCTGGAAACCTCCACTAAAGTATTGCAGTAAGTTGATTCCAAGCATAGCTTGGTAAAAAATAAATTGCTTCTTCCAGAGCTGCAGATCTGCATCTGAGCATGCGCGACCACACCCAAATTTTGGAGCACATGGCAAGCTTTTTTAATTAACAAAATGGCGGCATGTAGCTAAGATGGCTCGATCCAGCAGTCACAGTATCACTTTTTCCTTACTTGAAGAATGATCTGATGGGACATGGACCTGCGCATAGACTGTTGGAGTAGATTGGTGTAAGAATTATCCTTGTAGCACCAACTGATACTGAGATACACACCGACAACTGGATTGACAGGACTTGATGATGAAGATGAAGATGATGAAGATGAAAAAAGGTGGCTGAACAAAACGGCCGATTCGCCGATTTTTGACTTTTCGCTTAGACGAGGTCTAGAGCCACGCTAGTGGTACCATTGGAGTCCTCTGGTCAAGATAAGGTCCTCTATAAAGTCTGGTAAGCATAGGAGCTCGTTTTCCCGGTATAGCAAGGCTGCAAAAGTCGTGGCAGCCATTTTGTTTGGGGGTGAATCCTACTTAGTAACGCTACCGCGTTACTAATAGTACAGGGACTTTTGTCCAATTTTTGAGCAACTTAAGAAGCTCATAAAAAATTTAATTTTGATCGGAATCAGCTCAAACTTGCTACACAACATAACAACATGTACATGTTTTAGAATACATTATTAAAATGGAGATTTCTCACCTAGTCATTTTTGGCAAAATTTGGCCAACGACCCTGTACTATAGTACAGGGACGTTGACCCAATTTTTAAGCAACTTTAAAAATCCATAAAAATTTTAATTTTGATCGAAATCAGCTCAAACTTGCTAGATAGTATAAAAACATGCATATGCATTAAAAAAAATATAAAAATGGAGAATTCTCTCCTTGTCATATTTTGACTAAATACAATACACCATGTACTACTATATGACAATCTGAAAGCCACAGTAATACTATATACCTGTAATGAGGTCTTCTTCCTGTACTATCTCTTAATTCAGTTACTGCTTTATCTCTCATTGCACGATAGAAGCTAAATAAGTAATGGCATAAAAATAAACATCACATTCCTTCTCCATTCCCCTTCTCTTACTTAATTATTCCATCAATAAGTGGGTGTGCCTCTTCAGGAAGGTAGCTGCCTATAAGGATCTGTAGTTCCGATCGTTTGGTCATTTCGTCAACATAGAACTCAGTGAACCTGCTCCTCAGTGAGTCAGGAAGTGACCTCTTGTTGATGTCAGTTGATGGATTCATGCAACAAAACAATTGGAAGTTAGGATGCCTCTCAACTGGTTTGGTATCACTATACATGTAGAAAAAGAAAAATAATAAAAATGATCGAGATTTAATATAGCCACTAATAGGTACATGAATTATTACATGAGCAGCAAATGTTCATGTACATGTACATGTACATGTATATTAATGCCGAAAGACAAAAGTAAATGTAAATGTTTTTAGATCTATAGGCAATGGTACATGTAATCAATATTACTATTACTATTTACATATATATTTATTATTATTATTATTATTATTATTATTATTATTATTATTGTGTGGATTGCTTACACTTTTTCAGTTAATAAGAAGCTTCCATTGGGTCCCTCTAGTAATCCACTGAGACACTGAAGTGCTTCAGGTGAGGCTAGATTGACCTCATCCAGTAGAACCCACCATCCATTCCTAACAGCTTCAACCAAACTACCCTAATATAAAATAAGATCAATATAAAGTAAACAAGAGCACATGATAAAGAGAAAAGGTTTGGCAGTTTAAATATGATACCGTATAGTGGGTTCTCGAATGACATGCAACTAAAAGTTAATGAAATTAATTTCTGCAAATTTCTGGCACTCTTTAACATAACAAATTGATTTTCAAAAATGCACAAATTCTGTGATCTTCAAAAAACCCATCACTAATATATTCTCACTCTTTCTTTCTCTTCTCTTCTCTCCTCACCTCAATAAAGGCAAAAGCGAAATTGCTCTGAGGAGAATTGAGTTGCTTTTTAAGACGAAAAGCTTTAGACTCAAGATCCTCCCACTGACTCAACAACGACAATTGACCTAAAAATAAACATAAAAATATAACATAAAATAATGTGTAACAAATATAAGAGATGAGAGAGTTAAAAGTGTAAAGGTCACCATACAC